TTATGTACATATGTGCTTTTGTTCATTTGAACCTATGCAGTGTCCAGTATTTAAATCGGGTTTCAAGGTTTCGCGCATTTTGCAATTTTGAAAACTGTTTTACACAATTTTTACAGTTTATTAGGTTGCCTAAGATTAAGGCTTAATGGTTTCATTACGTATGCTTTTTTGAAAACTACCTAAATTAAATACAACACAAATTACTGCTCGTTTAAAAAAAGTACACAATTTTTTATAAATAAGTATTTATGTGTTTGTTTGATGCCATGCGAGCAAACTGCCAAATAACCTGTCACATTTTTGTAGGGTCGTCTGGGGTGTCTGTGATTGCACTGACTGAATTTTGCACTTTTTCATCTAATAAATCCGTGGTCAATAATTATATCCAAAGAATGACAACAAATGTTGAAACTACTACTCTTTAGTTACAAATCCACCACAAAAAAAATAAAAATTAGCAGCATATTCTGAGCAAAAAATTGGCAAACTTTAAAAAAACGAGAATCACACTCGCCCCGCTAACTGGGGCGAGTGTGATTTATTATGGGGCGAGTGTGATTCACACCTACAGGGTGTTAATAAAGTCCGATCCCATTTTTCCTGTAAAAAAGTGAAGGCTAGTATAAAAAAAACTACCCGTGATACTTACAAAAAATGTTCGACATATTTACCTTAGTATTTGGTCTTGTTACCATTTACTTTAACCATGCCCTCAACTCTTTGTTTAAGGCTCTGTGCTAATTTTTCCAATGTGCCTCTGGAAATCGAATTCCATACATCTTGAACTTTTTTTTACTAGCTCTTCCCTCGTCCGGGGTTGTGGCTCTTTGTATACATTTTCCTTAAGTATGGACCACTGGTTCTTCAGGGGATTCAAATCTGGGCCGTTAGCGGCCCACACCCCCTTGCTCCAGACCGTTGAAACTTGCGTCTTGATGAGACTCAAACTCGCTTTTGCTGTATGGGCTGTAGCACCATCCTGCATGAAAACTATTTTTCTTTCATTAGGAAATATTTCCTTGTTCCCCATGCTATCGAAATAGATAGGTAATATTTTTTCCATATAATGCTTTGCATTGACTGATTGGCCTTTTGGTATGATATGTAGAGGGGTCACGCAACGTGCACAAAATCCACCCGCTACCATAACTTTAAGCCCGAATTTTGGGATCGCTCTTGATGGTACATCCGATTTGTTTTCTGTCCTGTAACGAACATTTTGTTGGTTCAATTTTGGATATAGTTCAATAATAGATTCGTCAGTCCAAAGGATGTGACTGCGCAATTCTTCACCAAGTCTTTTTTCACTCAAATGGGCACTTTTCTGAAGGGGTTCTTCAAATTTCAGACGGTCATCGATATATTTTTGTGACATGAGAGGTTTTTTTGGTTAGTTTGTAAGCTGTGTGACCCCACTTCGTAGTTTTCACAAATTTTTGCACGGTCACACAGTTAATTTGCTTCTTCTTCTCTTTATAGCGTTTTGAGTCATTTAACTCCCTTGCTCAATTACGTAATGAACTACCGGTTTTCTTGCAAAGTCTGTTTTTAATCATTCTTTTTGTGGTAGGTGACACCTTTCTGGGTCGCCCTGGTCGCATTTTGTCGTGGACAAAATTTTTATTCTTCCATTTCCAAACAGTTCTGCGGCTGCAGCCCAATTTTTGCACAATTTCTGTAGGTTTAAGCCCCTGCTGATGCAATGTTTGTATCTCAACTCTAAGATGCTCATGACTTACACGTTTAGTTGTTCCTCCCATGGTAAAAATTTGAAATAAATAACTTCACTGGTTCAAAAGTTCCAGCTGAATTTGTAACAACCACGCTCCAAAAAATGCATGGGATCGGACTTTATTAACACCCTTTAAATCTGAGTACATTTAAATTTTTTCGTCTGATTTAGTTTCGTGTATTTGAAGCGAGCGTTTGTAAAAATGGTTATATATCAGGTAGTTTTTGTTTTTTCTTTATCAAAACATTAACATATTGTCACAATGATATGTAGATTAAGATTCAGTAGTTGTATTTAATCAAAAATGTTGCGTCGTTTCAAAATAATTAAGAGTTAATTTCAGTCAAAATCACACCCACCCCGGGTGACCCTATTTCTCTATTTTTCGAACCGACAGTAATTCCAATTTTAAAACTAGATTCATTTTCTCATTAAATGCTTAATCAGGCAAAATTTCGAACCCTGCCTTACGCAATGTCTTCCTACATACGTCAGCAAGTTCTAATCTACTTCAAGACATTCTTCAAGGTTAATCCTCCACGTGGCGCAATTGGCTACGTAAATATATACATAACTTTAAACTCCATTAAAATTCAACGTACCTCAAAGACTTAACGAAATTAAACTCCAACGAAGGAAGAAAAGCAAACAGAGGATGCTTCTCAAGTGCCAGTCGTGTCATGGGTATGTTATTCAAAAGGTATATCATTAACGAAAGACCCGCTAACTTGTCCATGTCATCTAACTAGCTAACTTGTCATGTCTAGTTTTGTAATGAGTCTGCCCTTATCTGTCTGTAGCTCTGGCGTCACTCCTATCTCGCCAAGTACGACGTGCTTGAACTGGCAACTGGGTGAGTGAACAATTAATTATGTAATTAATGTGTGTATCAAATTTAATCACGAAATTGGCACGAGGATGCTCGCCACGACCAGATAACCAAATGCACTCAGATTTTGACTAAATTTGTATCAATCGATGTCAAAATTAATTAAATTGAAATTTGCAAAAAGACACCGAGATTTCCCGAAGGTCACTTTTGGTGGAGATACAAATTGGCCTAAGATGCACGTTTAGAAAGTGTAAACTTTGATCACCTTAACGTGCATTTTTTTCCTATTCGGATGCAAATATCTAACGAAAACGGAGATATCTTTTTTTGAAAATTTTATATTAATTAAATTTATGCTTGATTTTCACTAATTTTGAATTAGTAATTTTTTTTTCAAAATCTGAGCGCATACGTTGAAGAGTCTCCATTGTAAGTTTTGTTTGTTTATGTCCAGCGAGTTCAGCGTAATTGAACCGGCCGGTTTGGAAGGGGGTGAACAGGAGGAGTTGCAGCTCGTCGTGTGGGACGCGAATGGTCACTCGGTCGCTTTCGTGTACGGGAACAACGTTCACTACAAAGCGGGTCACGCGGCGGGCGAGGCGGCCGTGCAGATCACTACCGACGGTGGGGATTCGATCTTTAACGGCATCTCGGATTGGGTGTATGAAGGTAATTTACGTATTTAGGGGTAATTGTACCAAATGCATACAAAGCGGGAAAGATAGGTTTGGTAGATATGTAAGTAAGTAGGCGTAAATTCGCCCATGTAATTTAAATTGTCTGATAAGAGTAATAATCGGGTTGCTATCCAATTGAAAGTTCTATGGCAGCAGATTACATAACGGGTTTAATTTCCGGTTTTAATAATTTTAGGATTGTGTTTTTTCTCTGATTATTTTTTAATTGATGTATTTTTAATTCGAATGCTAGCAAAAATTCGTTACATCCGAACCGAGTCGAAATTTCCTCTTGCTACACCATCCATTAGAACTGAATCTGAATTTTCAAATGAAAAAATATCCAGGTCCAACCGGATTCGGTTCGGATGGCCACTTTATTCTAAAGTCGGATAATCATTACAGCAAGAATCGTGATAAATGAGTGATTTATAAATACGCAGAGGAAATGTACGGAAGTCCGGTGGCCATGTGGTTTTCCACGGACAGTTCGAGCCTCGCCTTCGTCCGGTTTGACGACTCCACGGTAGATTTTTACCAGTGGCCCCTCTACGGAGAGCCCGGCGTGCGGAAGACCGTCTACCCAGTCTACGAACCACTCCGTTATCCAAACGGAAGTAGCTTCAGTCTCACTTCACCCCATCCCCCCTATAGCGCGGGTACCCTCTGCTTCACTTCAAGATTCAATTTCAATGAAAATCTGATTTTTCCTCGACCACACCCCTTAGGGGTGGCCCGAGTGGCCCAATCTTCCAACTCGTCCGCCATAAAATTAGATCTCAATACCATAAAATAGGTCTTACAAATTGATCCGCTCGAAAGCTATCTTGCTGACAGAGACGGACAAAACCTGCACAATAAGTAGCTATATCTACTAAATAAATAGAAGTTTACTAATTTTTGGCAACAGACAAATTAGACAGATGTCTATTTTCTGCAAGAACCTCAAACTTTTTGTACTGGCAGTTACATACTTTATTACAACAAAGCCAAATATTTTTTTAAGCAAACAAAACAAAAATAATAACCATGGTTATTCGTCGCGGCAAAATTAATTAGGATCACACAGCTAAATTAATATGCAATATAAAAATATGTATATTTTCGTCATCGGGCATTTTTTGTTTGCAGGCTGGACGCGATAATCCCATTGTTTCTCTCCACATTGTAAAATTGGATGATCCCACGGCCATTCGCCAAATCGTCTATCCTCCCAGCCAAGATGTGGAGTAAGACTTTCCAAATTTACTTAAATATATAAGTACGTACTTACGTACGTACGTAGTTAAGTACATATTTAAGTATAGTGTTACCCACAAAGAATGCATTTTTAAGGATTTTTTTGGTCGATCCGATCCGACAATATCTTAATCGGAATTTTTTACTAAGCCATTTACTATAAAATTTCTGGATCCGATCCATGTTTGTAAATGGTCGCATATTTCGAATCGGATCGGATAAGACCAGCCTAATTTACGGTGCAAATGGATCCTAGATCCAACCAATGTTAATCGTAGCACATGAAAGTATGTATGCATTTTATTCCTAACTAAATCGCATAATAGATTGCAATATTACATCGCCACCATCACGTGGGCCACGGCGGACCGTGTTATCATTCAGAACCTCAATCGACACCAAAACAAAACCGTTTGGAACACTTGTAACGCCGCAGATGGGATTTGTGCTCAGGTAAAGGGCCAAATATTTTGTAATAAAGGGCGAGCAACTATTAAAAATAATGTGTCGAAATTAGATAATGGAACAGTGGGCTACGACACCTGTCGGATGGTGGGATCCGCATCGACCAACCGTTTCACGCGACGGATCATTATTTCTCACCTTCGTAAACGGTGAACAACCCACGGATCCAAATCGAAGATCCTACCGAAACGTGATTTTAATTAATTCGATCCCGCCAAACCCAGAACATCAACCTCTGATTGCGGGTGCCTTCCATGTAGATGCAATCCTTGGCTGGGATGAAGCCAATAACAAATTGTGAGCATAAAATTCGGGTTACAAAAAAACAGTTAGAAAACGCCAAGTAATTCGGGAATTTAGTTCGGGAAGATTTCACAAATTTTGACAGCTAATATACGGAGATTACGAGTTAAGGCTGCTGCATCTAATTTTTATGCAATATTGGACGAAATTTACGCTTACAATGGAGGTCACCCAAAGTATGCTCACCAATTTGGACGAAACTAGTGTCACTCAATCAAAAATTTAGTTAGTATGAAATTTGCAAATGCAACTATCTGCCAATGCGCAGGTTTAGGATATTTGCATAAAAATATGAGAAAACTCGCCAATTTGTAATGCAAAATTCCAAAAATGTGTAAAACTGGTCACCTTTGGGGCCAGTGTTTGCCTCTCCCCTGAAATTTAACTTTTTTTTGTAAAATTGAATTAAAAAACCTTCACAATATTTTCTCGGAAACTTTTCAAAATCGAAATTTTTGTCAAATTGTAAGATTTCACGAAATACATGAGCGAGTGTGCACGTATGTGCAGTTTGCTCTGATAAATATTATTTTTTTAATTATAAGTTTTTACACTTTTTCACTACCCCCAGCCTTGTTTTATATACCCCCGTAACCCTCTTACCCTCCGAAAACCGTAACCCTCCGAAAACTCCACACCCTAGTGCTGGTTTGTGCACTTATCGTGTTTCCGTTCGGGACTTATCGAGGATTTCCTTTTTTGAGTGGATTCTTGTTACATACTTTCTCCCCCATCCTGGAATGGACTTGTCCTACTTCCCGTCATTTATTACGTAGCTGAATCCGGATTTGTATTGTTTCCCCCCAAATGTGGATTCTGGTGGGGGGAGTTAGACCTTTTATGTATGCGCTCTGAAGGTACTCCCCCCCTTCGGTACTTTTAAGTGCCGTATCCGGCAAGTTATTATCCTGATTTCTCTTGTCATTTATTTTGAATACACTATCCAAGTGTATTCAAAATGTTGGTTGTTTTTCGGTTCATCATCTCTAACTCGTCAAGTTAAATTACGTCATCTGCTACATGAGTAATGTCGATTCTACTCTGTCCTACCTGCCAAGATGTGATCCCGCTGTCAAAATATCGACTACTTTGTGGAATCTGTGGCCCTGCTCATCACAAAACATGTTTCCCTCTCGTGAAGAGACCTCCTTCTGGATTCACAAAGCCCAACGTCGTTCCTGGGTGGATATGCCCCCCTGCTCATCTAATCTTCACAACATTTCATCGATTATTTGAAACGGATTCTTTGACACTTCAATCTCCCATTCGCCTGGAAGTTCGTCTCTCAGTCCTCAAGATCAACTGTTATCTTCAAGTTTCGTCACACCTTCTCCCTCGTCATCGCATAAGATCGCAAGTTTATCCAATTCGTTATTATTTATAAAAAACACTCGTGGTTTCAAATTAGCCCATCAAAACTTGAATAGTATTAGGAACAAGGTTGATGAGGTTTTTTCTTTACTTAATTTTAGTTGCCTTGACCTATACGCAATTACTGAGTCAAAACTTGATCCAAATCGTGACATTGATGGAACGTACCTTCATAGTAATTATTCTTTCGTACGTCACGACCGATTATGCAATGGAGGAGGTATTGTTGTCTATATAAAGAATTGCTTTAATTTTGAGGTAATGGACTGTCCCATAAAATGTAATGTTAATTCACAGGAAATGGTGATAAAAATCAACTACTGTTCCACCAAGTTTTTCTTAGTTTCGATTATATATAGCCACCCATCAGTAAATGCCAACAAATTAACTTCTTATTTTCATGAATTGAATTGTTACCTATTTTCGTTATCCAACGACTTTGTTGTTCTTGGCGATTTCAATCTTGATTTACTCAAAAAGAACAATGATTCTTATTTATTACGTAACTCAGCTAATGAATTTCAATTAACCCAATTAATTAGTGGCCCCACATTTAAGGGTTTATCCCTCCTTGACCATGTTTATGTGAGTAAAAAAACATATGTTCCCAATTTCTTGTCATTTCCCACATGCTTGTTCTGATCATGACTTGGTATTTACAGTTCGTAAATCAATTAAAACAAAATATACTCCCATTAAGGTGAAATATCGCTGTTATAAAAAATGTGATTTTGAAATGTTAAACTCTGAACTCGAAGCTTATGTTTTGAATAATTTTAATGATGTTGACCCTGCGTTTAATAATTACAATCTATATTTTTTATCTTTATTAGACAAATATGCTCCTCTCAAGTCACGCTTTGTAAAAGCTAAGTATAATCCGTGGTACACTGCCGACCATGCTCATTTGAGAAAATATCGTGATAAATTACGGCGTATTTGTGATAAGTCGCAAGACATAACTGACATTCGTAAGTATAGATGTGCTCGGAACTTATATAATAATAGTGTGAATCGTGCAAAAAAAAACGTCTATTTCTCTGTTCAGTTAAAAAATAGTGAGAAAGATACCGTCTCTTTATGGAATAACGTCAATCAACTAACAGGATTCCGAAAAAAGAAAAAAGAGATCATTAGTAAGCTAACCATAGATAATGTTGACGTAACAACTCCTAATGGCATTAATCAGGTTCTCGCAGACCAATTTATTGTTACATCCGATCGTTTATTTAATGACGAGTCTGTATATGATAAAATGCGTGAGTTTAATGGTAATTTTGATTTATCACAAGATTTTTCTCCTGTAACTATTCAGGAGGTTGATAAAGCTATTACTGATACTTTAAAGGATAGTCCCTCCGATCCTTTTGTTCCCCTTAAAGTTATCAAACGATGTAAATCAATTGTGGCCCTGCACATAACCATGTTATTTCATTTGATTTTAACTTTATGTAATGTCCCACAATCCTTTCGTTCTTCTACTAGTGTACCTATATATAAAGGTAAGGGTAGAAAACTTTCCCCTTCAAGCTATAGACCAATTTCAATGTTGAATATTTATTGCAAAATTTTCGAGCGTTTTTTGTTTTCACGTTTATGTAACAGAATTGATTCTAAATTGTGTAAGCAGCAGCATGGCTGCAGAAAGAGTCATTCATGTCAAACTGCCCTTTCTGAGTTTACAAATTATTTATATTCAGCTCTTGATATAAAGAATGGTTATTGTGTAGCAATATACTACGACGCCCGCTCAGCGTTTGACAGTCTAGATAGATCAATTCTGATTAATAAGTTAATGGACCAATATAATTTACACCCTACTTATATATACACGTTGTTTAATTATATGAATCATAGATGTTTTAAATTCAAAAATGATCCTAAGTATTTTTATAACCCACAGGCGTTGTACAAGGGGCCAGTGGGAGTGGTGTTTATTACTCCGCCTACCAGGACGATATTTGTAAGGTCATTACTGTACCATTCCTGTTATATGTGGATGATCTCGTTATTTATTTGGCTGATCAAGATCTTGATGCAATTATGAAAGTTATTATCGACCAAGCGCACCGTATACAACAATGGTATAATGACAACAATTTATTAATGAATTACAGTAAGACTAAATATCAAATATTCCATAAGTTTCAGAATCTTATCCCTTCAATCTATGATGTTCCTATTAAGTTGAATAATGGTCAATTAATTGAGCGTGTTAACTCTTTTAAATATCTTGGTGTTCATCTCGATTCTAATTTAAACTTTCCTGACCATTTTAATGTAGTTTCAGAGAAAGTATCAAACAAGCTCGGCTTTTTCCATGGGGTAAAACGCCATCTCACCGAGAAAGTAATGGCTGTTATGATTAATAGTCATATTCATTCGGTCATGGATTATTGTATTGATATATGGGCCATTCACACTGATGCCCAACTCGATACCATTCAAAGAAAGGTTAATTCTTTTTTAATCAAGTTTTTGTTCCCTTCCTTTGTAAAAAAGTTTAGACACAGAAGGCATTCCAGGTTTAAAGTTTCTAAAAATGAGATTAGTATCAATGACCTTTTGCTCAGACTTAAACTTTTAACAATTCGTGAGCGTCGTGACCTTTTCTTGTACAAGTATGCGTTCAAAAACTTACGTAGCTTAAAGAGTGTCTCTTCCACTAGGCGAACCTGGCCTTTATTAATTGTTCCAACGCTTAAATTTGCTCAGAAATCAATAAATTATAGAGCTATACAATTATGGAATAAACTACCGCGTAATTGGGACCCCAATATGAGTTATAATGTGTATGTGCAATCTTGTCGTGAGTTAATTATTAACAATCGAGGTAATCAATTCTATTATTTTTTATCTGCGTTATATGTTTATTTACTTAGTTCAGTTAGTTAGAATAACATATTTATATTTAATCGTGTCATGGTTTTTAAACCAGTTTTTTGTTAAACTGATATCCATTTACACTCGAATAAATGACGAAATGAAATGAAATGAAATGAAGATTTCAAAGTCGAAGATTTTTAAACTGAAATTTTGCAATGTTTCTAAATTTCGCTAGTTTTATATATTTGAGTTTTATATCTACAGATACATTTCTGGGACAGGATTTCATCCAGAAACATCCCCGTTGGGTGATCCTAGTGAACGCCATGTTTATTCTGTTTCAAACGTGGAGCCAAATTCCATATCAGAATGTATGACATGCTCCATTCCCACCAGCGCGGACGAAGAATGCCGCTCGCACTCGGTCTCATTCAGCACCAATTTCCAATTCTACATGCACACCTGTCGAGGACCTGGTGTTCCCGAGATTACCACGAGACGCACTTCGGTGAGTGAATTAATGCCTTTTCTTGGATTTCTAATGGTGTTGTCACAATTTGATTTTCCTTCCTCTCAGGATAACTCGATCGTCAAAGTTTGGAACGATAATGCCCCACTTCGTGAACGTCTAGCAACCAAGCTTCTCCCTACCCTGAGCGAATTGGAGGTCGACCTTCCACTCAGCTATAAGGCTAAAGTCCGTCTCTATCTCCCGCCTAATTTCGATGAAAGCAAGCAATACCGCTCCTCGTAGAAGTGTAGGTTTCAAAATTTTAAAAAATACTTATTTTTCGTTAATAAAAAAATAAAGTACAAAACTTCCTTTAGTTATGCTGGCCCAGATTCGCAGAAAATCACGCAAGATTACGGTATCAACTGGGGCTCCTATTTGGCCAGTTCGAAAGAAGTAATTTTCGCAAATATCGATGGGCGCGGGTCCGCAAGACAGTCCGCGGAACAGAAGTTTGCCGTTTACAGAAATCTAGGGTCTGTTGAAGTTGATGATCAAATTTCGGTGACAAAGTAAGTATTTAACACTTGCTAATGGTGGATTTTCCAATTTTACGAGAATTTTTCAAACACTGAGATAATTTTATAAAATGCTAATGCAAATTTGATTGTTTTTTAGACACCTTATCAACACTTTGAGTTTTATTAACCCAAACAAAACCGCGCTATGGGGCTGGTCATATGGTGGGTATGCGACCGCTATGGTAATCAAACTTAATTGTAAAAAATTCCCATGCAAATTCGTAAATTACGAAAAGTTCATAAAACACAATATTGTGTTTTATGAACTTTTCGTTTTTACAGAGTCATAATTTTATTTAAAATTATGACTCTGTAAAAACTTTAGAACTCATTTGTATTACTATTAGGCACTTGGGAAAGACAGCGAGAACGTGTTTAAATGTGGCATTTCAGGGGCTCCGGTTTCGAGCTGGTTGTACTACGGTAAAACAAAAAGATATCCATACACCCTAATACGCAGGTGGAAAAGTCGCTAGCGTGTCAAATTTTAACCTATTGAAACCAGCATTCCATTTGTATTTCTGAATTTCTTTCAGACACGATATACACCGAGGGATACATTGGACTCCCTACCCCTGAAGATAATTGGGAGGGTTATAACCAATCCTCCGTGATGCCTCACTTGGAGGGCATTGCGAACAAGGAGTTCCTCTTGATCCATGGCAACGCGGATGACAATGTTCACTACCAGAATTCTATGATGTTGGCAAGAGCTCTCGAACAGGCAGATATCCTATTCACTGGATTGGTGAGTTAAATTATTTATTGCTTATATGATATAAGTTATATCATAACTTTACCATCATATGAACCCTTGGTTATAATTAATATACTTCCTAATGCAGAGTTATCCCGAAGAAAACCACCGAGTTAACGGACCTGGCAAGCAACGCCATCTGTACCACTCGTATGAACATTTCTTAACCAGGAACGCGTGCTTTGGACCACTTGGAAATCCATGAAGTGCTAAAATTTATAAAATTTGTATTTACCTAATAACAGTTATGTGTATCTAACTACAACAAAATTTCATATAAAAACTTCTTAATTGGCAATTAAACACAAATGGCTAACAAATGTAATGAGTTTCTTCCACAATATCCTATTTTCTACTGAACCGACTTTAATGTTATAAAAGTTTACAAGTTACTAAATACGCTATAAATCAAAATGCCAAGTTTATAGCCGGTGCATGAATTACATTGATCATCTTGTGGATAAATTTCATAAAGGCTGAATCCATTATGCCTGCATTTATACATACATATGTTTGCAAAAAATAAATTATTACCCAAGTTAGTTACATGTTGTTACTTCGCTAGTTTTATAATGCATTAAAAGTCTAATGCTGCGTAATTTGGATTAACAAATTTTGAAATTGGATCTCATTAAGTATAGGGTTCATTTGAAATTGAGAAGCTTCTTATGTATGTCAGTAGTAGTATTTAATCAAACTACTCGGCCACCAGTGGCCGAGTAGTTTGATTAAATCAGTTCAGTTAAGTTTTGATTAAAATGATAACAGCGTCAATACTGCAGCTAGTTAATCGGGCAATATGATCCAGTGTAAGGAATAGAGACGATTTGATACAGCGACTAAAACTAAGTAATGATTTTCTATTAAAAAATCATCTATGCAAATGGATGACTAGTGAAAAATAGTTTTTTTTAACTTTTTACTAAATGAGAGTTTTATTCAGGTTAACATAGAAAATTAGACATACATAATCAAAATACACAAGGTTTGACATTGATGAAATATTAATATAAACTGGTTAAAGTTACAATTGAATTTAATTGAAATTTAACTAATCCATCTTGTCCAGCCTTAACCAGTTAGTCCCACGTTTCAGGGTAACAAATTTGTTTCGGATAGCGCTTGCACTTTCTTGAAGAAAATTTGGTTGACCTTGTTTAGAGGACTTAGGTGTACCAAATGGAGTAGGAGCTATATCCGGGCTAGAATCCCCAGGTTCATATAGAGCTGTAATGGTTCCATCCGCAATGCTTTCAGGCTCCTGTGGTTCAATATTTCGTGCTAGTTGGGTTTGCATAGCTTTTTGAGTCTGCTTAGACACAAGTGTTTTCGGGATGTTCACTTCAACCAGAATTTGAAGGAATTCTGAAAACCCAGGAATTGGTCCATAATAAGATACCCCACGTACGCAATGATTTAATAAATCTGTAATATTAGTTCGTTCATGACGTACCCCATGTAAAATTAGTTCACCTCTTTCATTCCATGAAATAATATCACTATTGGCCCTTAAATGCTTCACAACAGCATGCATCTTGTTCAGGAATTTCGGAGGTATAGTACCCATCCCGGGAGTAAGTTCAGCATCAGTCAAACTAGTTGATTTTTTATCAATCAATTTCGTTTCTTCGGCTATTTTCACGAGAACTGGTTTGCTGTCTTCATGTTTCTCCTGATCGTATCTCTGCCGGTTTAGTAGTTCATATAATTTTAATTTGAATTCATCAGGGAGGGATGTGAACAAAGCCAAGTCGGATTCGTCCTCTAAAATTCGAGATGTGGGTGGGCTGCTGTGAGATTTTTTAACCTGCTGCAATTTTTCAAAATCAATTTCACTAACTAATCTCATGCGCTTCATCCTGACAAAATTTTTTCAATTGCTTGTTGTGCTAATGACGTTAACACAGGTGTCAAAACTGACAATACAATAGGTAGGAATCCTCCGGTTTGAACGACGAGTTTCTTATTTTTAATGGATTTAGCTTTCAAGAACTTAAACAGCGCTTTTCGTTTCTTCTTTAATTTTAAGAATTGACCTGGAGTGAGTGGTATGTTGCCAGCGCAAACGTTTAGAACACACTCAGATAATGCTTTCAATTGAGGTGAAGTGGCACCCTTAAGAATATCTTTGCGCTGTTTCGAAGACGCCTTTTGCAAGAAGCTTAAAAATTCTTTATTCGATTTTAGATTATGAGACATTTTAAAGTAACATTTCAGGGAAGTGGTAAATAAATTATGGCTCGTTCGGGAAGGAAGCTAGAAGAGAGTCTGTGGTCCTCAACTTGATGTTGTGTGGTATTTATAAGTAGATAACTATGGGGCTTTATTGTGGCATGTGCATAGGCTGACGTAAGGTAATGCTTGTCGTTTGGGAACATTTGTCTAGCCAAATAATTTACAAAACTGGAGTCCCTGGGCGATTTAAACAAAACGATATGGCTTGCATTAAGGGTAAGCTCTCTTAATGATTTAAAGAAGAAATTCTGAACCAGTAGAAACACAGATATATTACGATGTCTTGAGTATACTGTGAACAACGTTAAAAGATCAGCCTTCCCCACAGATGTCATCCAGTCATCAATTATACAGATGGAATTATCTTCTATGTCATCTGAGGTTGGTTTAGCATTGATGTATTCGATTTGAGGGTTATGTTGAATTGGCAGGCTCTCCTTGTAGAAATATTTGATTTTCTTAGGAAGGGGGGGATAGAAGATTTCTGACCTTTTCAGAATGGTATGTACCAGCTCTGACTTACCACATCCTGATGGACCCGCAAATATAACACGACATGGAGTGTGTATGTAATTATCATAGTTAATATTCATTGTCTGCGGTGTGTTAGAGGGTGTATGAAACGACAATCCCGGTTTCCCTTGAGCATACGTTGTATTGAAGGTCTCTCAATAAGAAGACAATCCACTAGAGAGCAAGCCCTGCTAAAGACGAAGGAACCAGGCTGGAGATGAGCCTCTGACCAGACACAAACGCTGGAGAATTAGAATTGGGGAACAAACCTCTGTAAAATATCTTTTCCTGATCAAGACAATTTTCACAACTTTGACGAAGACTCCCTGAAACAATCAAGGTAAAACTCAAAAACAGGGATAAACAGAGAACAGACGCCATGACAACCGTTGTTCGGAATGAACTGATATTACTCTCATCCCACTCAAGCCTTTTTATATTCCACAATAAACGTCGGCGAGAAACGTCAGCGAGAAACGTTATGTACTTACATAGTAAATAATCAAGTCATGGACAGAAGCATATGACCGTGAATCATTGCAATATCGTAACAGACATCTAATATTCTCTGCACAAATTATGGGGTAAACGAATGGCACGTAAAAGTACCTCCCGCATGGGGGGTGCAGTCATTAAACTAACTGATCTTTTATTCATATTTTCAGGTTCAATCCCCTCCAGGATCGAACGAGACTATCGACATGAAATGGTAAACGGACCAGTAGTAATTGTGAAGCCCACAAACAAGGTAACATTCTTTTTTGTGCTGCTGTTCTTTAGTTTTTATTATAAAATAAACATGTCGTTTTACATAACTCTCCCCAGTAATAGCAGCGCAGACTTATTTCCTGATAATAAAATTTCCAATTTTAGAACAAAGCTTGGTAAAAATGTTAGATTGCCTCATCAAAATTTTGAAGTGGCAGTTGTTGAAGCTTCGTACGTGTATAATATTCAACAATTCCCGGCGGTGGCTAATGAAAATTGGATTATTGTGAAGGATATTGTCGAGATACGATGGACAAAATTGTACCTGAAGAAAAACACATTTCTTAGAATTGACGAACTGGTCAACCACGTTTCAGAACTTTTGAATGGTTTTTATAAAAACCAATCAGACTTTTCGATTCATTTTGATGCCTATGCAAAAAGGATAGAGATTAGTATTACAGAAGGTCGTTATTCGCTGACCCTATCTAATCAGTTATCTGCAATACTTGGGTATCCCCCCAATTTCCGATTTGAAGCTCAGAACGAGCCCTATGTGGGGGAGTATTCTCCTGATTTACGAGCAGGATTATACAGAGGTTTCTTATATTCGAACATTGTAGAAATGCAACTCGTGGGGGACATTGAAGCCCCTTTATTGAGAACGTTTGAACTAGGAGGCAATTGGGGTGAAGAAAGGAATTTAATTTTCACACAGCCTTACTACATAAAGTTGAACACAAGTGAATTAGATATCATTCATCTCTATGTACTCAGTGAAGTAGGCGATCCAATTATTTTTAATGCAGGAATTTTAACTATAACTCTACATTTTAGGGAGATAAAATGAGGTCCGTATTCGACTTGAACGACGAAAACTACGCCCGCGCTCTTAGGCATCAGACCGGGTCAGGAATCATTGGATTTAGGGGAGTTAGAAGACAAAGGGGAGGAGGATTCGATTCTATTCTGTTCAATCTTGCAAAATATGCCATACCAGTGTTTGAAAAATACGTTTTACCTCATGCTAAAGAAGCTGTTCAAAACATTATTACTGACGTTAAGCAGGGTTCCTCCATCAAATCCGCCATAAAAACTAATGCAAAGAAGGCGATTAAAGCAGCTGGAAAATCACTAATTCGTAACACTCTCAATCAGACAGGCAAGGGCATTACATCTCGTAAACGAAAGAGACTCAAAATTTTTGAAAAACATCCAGATTTAAAACCCCCGAAACGGTTTTGTATTTCAAGTGTTAAAAAGAAGAAAAATAATAAAACAATAAAGCCTGCTAATCGCAAAGGTCTTAAGCAAACAAAGCTAAAAGATTTCGGATTTCGACCAATATTTTAATTACATAAAAGGAAACTAAAAGTAAAGTAAAACTTAAAATGGCTACAATTTTTGACAATTCTGCTCCCATTATCAGATCTGAGGTAGATCTTTTTCAAGTGTTACCGACTGACGCAAGTATAGAAAAAAGTCTATATATTGAGTATAGTCCCACCACTAATGTGCAGGAGAATTCATCTCAAATTGAATTCGTAATCCCGGAGTCCTCCAATTTTTATCGCGATTTCCAAAAATCATTTATGTACATTGTGTGTCAGGTAGTGAACGAGGACAATTCCAAACTCCCCGTTGAAGTACTTCCACATCCTGAATACCAATATAATGAATCAGCAAAAACAATATCGCTTAAACCATACAAAGAACCAGATCATTTAGTTGCTCCTGTAAATAACATAG